TCATACACAAATTAAAATTCATAAGCAACATAAAACACAGAAAAGTACATGACCATTCAATCATTGAATTATAAGAGACTAGTTAAACATTTATAATAACACGATAAAATATCATACTAATCATTAAATTATATCCTACTATAAATAATAACTAACTACACAGTACAAATACTATAAATTAATGGAAAGAAATATACATTTATATATCTATATGATTAAAAAAACAGTCGCTATTAATGTTTATGAAACTTAAGGTAATCATCCAAGCTAAATCATAATATTTCAGATCTATTTTAATTCAATATCAGAGTAATTGGACATTTGTAACATTAATGACTGAAATAATTTATTAATTTATGAATTAATTAATTTATTTATTTATTTAATCAATTTATTAAAAAATTAGTTTATTTATTTATTAATTCATCAAATTATCAATCTATTAATTTATTAATTAATTCATTTATTGATTTCTTTATTTAATTAATTAATAAGTGTATTAGTTTATAAATATTTTAATTTATCAATATATTAGTTTAATTATTTATTTTTCTATTTATTTATATATTTATAATTAATTGAATGAATGAATGAATGAATGAATGAATGAATGAATGCATGAATGAATGAATTTATTTATTTAGAATTAATTAATTAACTAATTAATAAATTAATTATTAATTAATTGAGTAAATAAATAAATAACTAATTGGACCGGACCTATTTCATTTTAAAAAGGTCGGAACCGAATATTAACATTTAGAAAAACTTTTACTGTTAAACATCCGATCCAATTAGAAAAACAAAAAAGATAAAGATGAATTCTCCCATAATGTTATTCTCCCATCCCGCTCTAATGGGGTATTTCTCCAAGCTAGCCATCATGGGAAATTTCTCCCATTTTAATTTTGGGAGGTTTCCGCACAATTTTAATTTTGGGAGATGTCTTCCATTTACTAAATAGGTTAGTTTAGCCAATGGGGGAATTGCAAAATTCTTTACATATATTCCTCGCATACTTATAAGTTTATTATAAGTATTATATATTCAACACATGTAAAAATATTTAGAAAAAAAAAATTCCTCCCATGGTTTTATTTTCCCACTTTAAGAAATGGAGTTTAAACCCCACTAAAGTCCCAGTGGGATACGTAAAAACCCATGGGAGAATTGAAAAACCCATGGGAGGTCACACTTTGAACGCTCACCCAGCGTTAAATTATTGCGCTATCTTTGTGTAAACGGTCAATAATCGTCTATTTTTATCCAAATTACTGTTTGATTTAACTTTTTGTATTGAAACTATGTTAAAAAGGGTAGTTGAGTTTGCGAAAATTCCGGATTTGCAAACTTATTCCGGAGGCTGTTTAAAACTTATCTAAAATTAAATTAATTTTTAGGTGAGTAAACACTTTAGGTTAATGTTTTAAATAAGATATTAGCATTAAAACATCTGCATTGGTTGGATACAATATCATTCGATTAAATTTTGTGAGTGCAGCGGTTCTATGTTCTGAAACACGCGATTTTTATGGGAGAAAAAAATATATGCATTTTTTCACTTTTCACTTTATTCAACATGGACTTTTATGCTTATAAATTGCAGGCAAAGCAAATCTTATTAACCAATAAAATCAAGTCCTTGGAAGACTTTGGAATCTTTCATGTGAGGAAGATATCCAGCTAGCTTATTTTTATTTATTTTTATACTTAGGTGCTCGATCGTGTCTAAAATAAGGCACGAAGGGGCACCTGAGGCCTAACTCTATCAGTAAAAGCTGGAATATCGCGATATGGCCTATTCTTGATTGGTGCGGCGTAAATCTCAACAAAACAAACCTTGGCAGGGAGGGCAGCTTAAAACCCAAGAGCTTATTGTGATCGTTTTTTTTTAAATTTAACAATGTTTAAGTTGCGAAAACACTAAACAAAGTTTACTGATAATTGAATAAGACACTACCTTACACATACACAGAGCGAAAAAATAAATGATATTTTAAGTCATCTATACGTAAACCGACTTTGACAGCCGTATTTGTAAAGTGACTAAAAAGACCATCCTATAAAGACGGAGATAACGTTACGAGCAACTTTAAATACCTTCCTTGTGGACACTCCTTCAAAATAAATAAATACTTTAATACTTAAATGGATCATTCAGGTACTCAAAAATGATTTTTTGGGAACGATAAAACACTAAAGGTAATGAAGTAGTATTAAGCAAAACAGTATACACAATACATATAGATATCATTTTAAATTGTTGTGGAATCCGTATTTATTTTATATAGTGATTGCGCATTAATATTTATCTTTTATAAAACTGCACGTTTGTAACGTCGTTTTATCTTTAGATAACCATGAAACAATGCAATCTTCTTTTAGCTGCTTTTTCAGAATTATCAGCTTTCCTCAAAAGAGATTTTGTGCTGTATTATTTATATGTAACATAGAGCTTTGGCCGGCTGATATGTATGTAGAAACAGTTGTTTATTAAAAACAATTTAATTATGATGAAATTTTTATGTGAGCATTTATCTTATCGTTTTAAAGGCAGAATTTTTGATAGTCAAAGTGCCTTATTAGTCTGAGCCAGAGGTCCCTGCTGTGCTTTAAATGTTAATCCCTTGCAAGAAGGTACAAACACACGCGCGTATATAAGTATTATCCTACGCTTCTTTAAAACTTGTAATGTTTCCATAAAGTAAATTATAGTTACTTACAGAAAACGTTGTACTTATAATAAAATATAATGATAATTAATAATAGTGTAATTTGCCCTGAGAAATGAAATGATGTTCTTGCTTATTTTGATTAAGTAAAAAAGAGCTAGTCAAACAGAACTCTTTAGGTAGTTGGGTAATGCTTGTTAACTCTGCTTATCAGGCATATGTCTAATCAAAGGAACTTACTTGTGTTTCTTCAAAACTATTGAAAATATAGATCAATTTACTTTATTTTGATATATTTTGTTTAAGGCGCATGAATAAAATCTTAAAACAACACTATAACATTCCAGCACAAAATGTACATAGACTGCTCTTTTATTAAGCTAGTGTTTCTATCAATTTGTCAATGTCTCTAAGACTATCTCAATAATGTAATACAAACATTACTGCTATGCCGTGTTCAGTTTGATTTTAACCAACTAAAAATCGATAAAAAATATGTAAAATGAGAAAGGATATTTTTGAATAATTTCTTACAACTTACAGCCTTTTTCAAATATATTAACTGTCTTATTTCAAAGACTAGTTCTGCTATGACGAGTTCTAACAATGGACTATATTCATTTAAAAGAAATAATTAATACGGTTTTAAGGGTTTGAAACAGTTCTTACATTTTTTTAACAACGAATATATAAGGATATGTATATACATTTTATTCGTTAAAAACTGTGAAAATTATTTCATACCCTTCAAACCATTTTTATATATACAGGAAATCAAAACGATAAGATTTCATTTATACTTAGATCAACGCTTGCTGAAAAATGTTATATCAAGAAAACACCTGTAGTAGGTTTGATTGTGGTTAGATATATTATATTCTTGCAGCTATTGGAAATTGTGGCCAGTCTTCTTAACCACGCTACTTACGTTTTCATATCGGATATTGGCTGCAGAGTGTAAGCCGAATTTTTATTCTCTCTCAGATAATTTCAGACAATGTTAGATAAAGAGAAACAAAACTACTAGTAAAGGAAATTTGTTGTGTTAAATAAATGTTTTGGATTATAGCACAGAAACCTATGCAGATGCTTTGCAAAATATGAAGTTTTGAAAATAATTATTTGAAAGAATGGATGAATATTTTAATTCAACTTTATCAACGCATAATGCAGTTGATATTTCCTACTTATTACATCTTTCATCACAGTTTCCACTTTATGGAGGTTATCCTGAAGTTTTTGGATATATTCTTCCGCCAGTGATAGTGTTGACTTTAGTCACTAATTGTCTTGTTATAACAGTGCTGATAAAGAAGGAAATGCGCACCCCAACTAATGTTATATTAGCTGGACTAGCTTTCAGTGATATGATGTGCGGCGTGATAATTTTTCCTGTATTCTTCAACTTTTTTACTCTAGGAAAATATAACGAAATAGTGCCGTTTGACTGGTGTCTCCCGTATCAAGTATTAATAGTTCTAGCTTCAGGGTTTCATAATATATCTGTGTTACAGACAGTTGCCTTGGCAACACAAAGATATATTTTCATATGTGTGCCGAGAGCGCGTTCAAAATTAAATTATTTCAATGCATTAAAAGTAGTCGTTATTTTACATATCATCGGACTATTTGCTCATGCCGGAAGGTTTCTTGATACTTACTTTGTACCAGCCTTTGCTTATCAGTCAATTTCATCAGAATATTATTTTAACTCAAACAATATCGGATGCATAACAGTTTTCCGCGACTGGGTTAAACCGAATTTGGAATTATACGTTAACGTATATTTCATACTACGTGCAACGTGCTTTGGAATTTTGCCATGCATCACATTAACGATTTTAACTACGTTGTTGATAAAATCAATGACGTCACAAAGAATGAACAGAAGACGTTTATTTAGAGGAAGGGGAATATGTGACGGTCTTAATCAACAAGACAAACAAAATGTGAGGACAACTTTACTGTTGATTGTGGTGGTTGGTATACATTTATTCTGTGAAATTCCTAACTCTGTGGTTTTATTTATAGATGCCGTTGAAGCTGCAATTGATTTGTATAATGTATCGAATGCAAAATTAATTGTAATAAGCATATCTAATATAATGGTGATATTAAGTTGTCCAGTGAATATTTTTATCTATTGTGGAATGAGCATGAAATTCAGAACAACGTTGAAACAAATGTTAAAGTGTAGATGAAATATCGTGATAAAAGAAAACGTTGACTCACATGTGCAATGTACTCTTTTGAGGATAAAAAGTGAAATGTGTCACATGTGCTAATAACAAAAAGGATTCAATTTAAAGAAAATAACTCGGTATTTAATTTTTGGATAACGAATTTGAAACTTCATCTTAAATATTTCACAAAATGAATGGATTGTTCATAGAACAAAAATTTGATATTTGATAGAAAATTATGTATTTATTGCTTCAATTCTGATGTTATCCTTAAACACTACAATGTATCACTCACTTAGTGATGACTTTATATACATTAATTATTCATCTGTGATTAAAGGCTTATTGAGGCCCTAAAATAATATTTAATTCTTTTTGTTTGTTTTGTAAACAACTCATAAGCCTTGCAGCTGAGAGCCATGTTTTTAATTTGTTAAGTTATAGTGTTTACTATTATAATAAGGAATACAAAATACCACTTCGTTAACGTCTTGCTACTTTACACATGAAAACAATCTTACTCGCACTAAACTCATAATCAATTTATTACAAGTAAACATTTTCCTTAAAACAAAAAAACGAATAATTTTTAGGTTAAATGTGCATTTAATCGAATTATTATAATTATTAATATTTTGGTTAGTTTGTTTTCGTTATTGTTAGCATTCACAGTATTTTGAAACAATCAATTTATGGATCAATTTTAGAAACTATGATACTGATGTGTTATTTTTGAGAATTATTTCTACAATAACAATATTTTCTAAATAATAATATATAAATTATAATTTTTCACTTTTTTTCAAACACGCAAAAAAGAATACAAAAAATGAAATAATGATTTAATTTAATTATTTACACGCTACAGTTGTAAAAAAAAAAAAAGAAACAAGCAATGATTCCTATGCACTAAAAGTGTTCGGTAGAAAAGTCTTATATTATATATTTTCCCACTGTATTTTATATAATTAGTTTAATGAAAACAAACGCTTTTCTTTAGTTTTCGACGTTTAATTTTCTTTAGAAAAAATTCTTTTCGAATTCATGAAATTATAACATGTTAGATAGAAGAAGAACACCACTTTAGTCAAAATAAAATCGCATAAAGGTTGACGAATACTGTGAAAGTACTGGCTCGATAAACGCTGAATTAAACAAATTAAAACAAAAAAGAAAGAAAAAACAAAATGAATTAGTCTTTTTTGTGATTAATTAAATTATCCATTAATTTAAAGTCGTTTAAGAAATAATTTTATTTATTTATATTTTGCAAACATTTTTTTTTTCAATTCCATACACCCACTCACTAATTGACTGATTGGTTTATTAAATTTCATATTTTTATTTTTTATCTATTTATTTATTTATTTATTTATTCATTTATGTTTTTTATTTATTAATTTATCTTATCATTCATTTATTATTTCTGCAGTGTTCTGTTATGTTATATTTTATAACAATCGACATTTAACAGGAATAAAAGCAAGCAACTAAGATATACTGACTCACTCGGACATAGGAAGTTAGGAACGCTTCTTGACGATTTTTGTATATTTTACTGTCCGTAGGTAATTTCGAAAAATCGAAAAAAATAGATATATCCTCGCCAGTATAAACATTTCATCATGAAAAGATTTCTCTTTCCAGCGATTGTATCAATCTGTAGTGAATAGATCGAATTCATATAGAAAATTACTTAAGATCTCATTATTTCATATTTAAAGTTATATATATGAAGTTTGAAAATACTATGAAGAAAGAAGTATTTTCAAATATATTATTTATTGTTGACATTTAATATATTTTGAAATATTGTCTAGTCCCGTTTTAAAAGACAGAAATAACCACATATAAATGCTGAACAAAAGAATGAAAAATCTTTTATGAAATTTTAGTTTAAGCTTACAATTTAAGCATGAATATTTGGTTTCCCTCGCAGTACCTTCTACCCATAAACTCGTTTAAACCGATTTACCTTTAGTTTAATGGAAAACATTTTCTAGTAAATTGCAGATGGGTTATGTTAACATGCATTAGGCACTCTTTATCGAATAAATTATTCCTCACCGCCTGAATACATTTTATTGTGACAGACAATTATTTACAGTAAACATATATAATTACGCACATTACTTTTATTAGACACATAAATCGTCTGTAACATAAATATTCTGTTACACTGTCTAAAGAAGAAAAAAGTTAGTTTTGTTTATAATTGAGACAGACAGGGTAGACATAGTGGAAGTTATATGAAAACAAGTTCAGTTATTTAGTTAAATGCTTTTGATTAACCATTCCTTACAAAAAAAATCTGGGAAAACATTCAAAATAATTATAATTGACATAAATCTTATGATATGAACTGGCAAAAGTTTACAATGTGTTTCATTTTAAAGACATCGCTAATCAATTGTGTAATGTTTAGATATTTAGAAAATATATTTAAAATGATTTTCTTAGTTAAAATAGATTGATTTTACAAAAAAAAAGTTTTATCATCGGAAGAAAGCTTTAAAAGGAATTGAATATTTTCACGTGATAAATTACTGTTTCTGCATGTGCATTATTACAATGGTGTATGCATACGCTGGCTTTTAACCTTGATATATTCTTTATTATCATAAACCACTTTTTATATAAATTGTGCCATAGAAACACTAAATATCTTTGGTTTATTTTTTGCGGGACACTGTTGCATTTGATCATGTAAGTAGAGGGTATGTAATGAGCTTTATAGTTGCAGTTTTGTGATTCTTTCATTAATTTCAAAACCATATTCAGCATTATCCATCATCTGTAGAATAATCAACTATAAGTAAAATATATTAACATTTTCAGTTGCGTTCTTCAAAACATATTTCCAGCAGTTCTTAATTGTTCTAAATACAAGCGTTAATCACCCAAACCCACCACCAACACGAAATATAAAAGACTAAATAAATTAAAGCAATGCCAAACTAAAACAAGCAAGAGAGTATTTCGCCATTAATATTAAATTAATTTGATTTACAGATTTATATTATCTCAAACAGAACTGTAAATGTGTCCACAGGACACGGATGTTCCAACATTCATATAAGAACAGACAAGTACAGTATAAGGATAGAGTCAGAACAGCCTCTGACCAATTTAATGTTAGCTGACCAACTTCTAATTTGTATTAAAATATCTTCGTAGTCTAACTTAAGTTTGTCAAGTTCTTTTAAGAAATTCGACAAGATAAGGGTTAATGACTACAACATTTTGCGATACAGGCTACAACCATCAAGCGGTATTGCTGACAATCATTGAGCGAAATTGTTGACAACCTTCTAGCGAAACTGCTTATAACCATCTGGCGAAAATGCTCAAACCGTCTATTTATCTTGCTGATAACCGTCTTGTTGTACTTCTGCCTACCGTGTAGCGGTATTGCTGACAACTGTCAAGCAACGCTCCTAACTACAATGTAGCCATATTGGTGACAGCCGTCTAACATTACTGCTGATTATCTTCTAGCTGACAACCATCTTGATCTTGACAACCGAATGGGTATATTTCTGTCAAATAATATTTCTGTCAAATAATATTTCTGTCAAATAATGGTTGTCAGCTGACAACCATTTTGCGATATTGCTGACAACCATTAAGTTAGAAAACATAAAAAGAAGAACCAGAAACTAAATATTCGTGAGTTGTTTGGATTTGGAATGAGCGTGCAGGTGAATGAAAAATCGATATAGCATTAAACAGATATCCTTAGAACTTTTATTGCCCTCATAAAAACAAGGTCTGCTAGATAATCTAATACAATTATTGCACCATTTGATTCAATAGCTTTACAATTAGTAGTTTAGCGCTTATCGTCGTAAAATCTATATAAAGAATATATTCTAGCACTAATTTAAAACCAGGTTCAATTTCATCCGTTAATTGGGCAAGGAAATGTCAATGGCACTTTGCGGTTTTTATTATGAGTAAAGATTAAAGGTAAACTACAAGTTAATATATCATTAAAATAGAGTAAAGCCATTGTAATGATAATAAATAGTTAAAGTTATATTTCAAAAGTTTAAGTGTTAAACGATATTATCTTTTAAACCAGTCATATTTTAAAATTCACTTTAAACGGTAAATAACCATTACAGTACCGACCATGAATAGACTCAATAAAACCGAGCTGGCAATATTTTCATTTGAACATTTCTGATTTTCTTTAGGAATTCTGCGATTTATTTTATAAGCAAGAAATGTTTCAATGACACATAATGAAGAGACGCCGTTTTATATTATTATATATGTTTTATCTATATTTTGTCTCTAACAAAAATATAAATCATTAATGATTGGCCTTCAACATAAAAATTTTACTCTTTTCACTACGATGAAAGCACTCTGAATTCTTCACGCCTGAGTCTTTTATATCTTGATGATATTTGGACCGAAAGTGATTAGCCTTTGCAACAAGTATAAAAATCTGGAGAAAGTGGGATCCCTCGGAAACATTTATAACAACAAAAGAAAATTATAATTGTATACTCGATTTCATTGAGTCTGTACATGAAAGATAATGACAAAGTGCATCATCCCTTACATCCTCTAGCACCGGCTTGAGCGGTACTCAGTTATCAACACTTAAAAGTGTTGGAAGCCGGGATATCCAGGTTATCCTACCAATATGCCGCCAGACATTTTACTGTTAGTAGATTGGTCCTCAATATTGTAATAATGAAATCCTTCAAAAATTGAATGGACTGTTCTTAAGTACAATTTAGGCAATCAATAAAACAAATACAGCAGGTTATGGGGTAAAATATAGCTAGAAGAACCAGACATACGGTTGGTACATATAAGATTTTTCCTGTAAAGTCTGGGCAAAGCAATTAAACAAATTCAGCAGGTTATAGGTGAAATATAACTCGAAGAACCAGACATACCTTTGGTACATATAAGTTCTTTTCCCTGTTAGCGCATTCCTCATCATACAACATGAATGATTAATGATATTTAGAATTGAGACGTTCATCTTTCACTAAAAATCATGTAAGGACTCATAACAAATTCATACGTAATGTTATCGGTACAACTGGAGGCTGAAAAAAGATGTTTAAAGTAATTTATTTAAGCTTATAATAATTAGATTACAAACCCCATATTACATAAAAAATGCTCGGAATGTATAAATAAAAGAAATGGTCCGTTCTGTTTACAAAGTGATACAAAGATATTTTGTTAAAGCTGAATAGACTAGTGGTGGCATGAAATAAGGAGTATAATGGTGATGTAAGAACGTCTTAAAATACATTTTGTCATGGCAATCACGAATCAATAGGAAACGTTGCCTTCGACATATATCCCCCCTTCCCTGTCCCCTTTTTAACAACCAACAGTTTAGAGTTTGGTCCAGACAGCACAAATGTACAGTCTGGTCTGAGGGGTAAGGGAGTTCACAAGACAATTTTTT